ACGACATGAAGAGCCACAACATTAGCAAGCTAAACAGAGGGAAATAGACCAACTTTCTAAAGTTCTTACAAGTTCTGTTCTCTGCATGGTTTGTCTCCCCTGTCACAGCCACAAGGGCTCAGAGAAGTCTATGGAATATGCCGAGGTCAGCCCACACCCGAACAAGTTTAGGGGACTGGTTTTCTCTCCAACATTGTGGAAAGGGAATATACCTCACACCCAAAATGGGCACTCAGCTCCCATTTGCCACAAAGACAGAGCCACAGTCGCTGAGGACTATGGATGTCAAAGTTGGTGTTGCTTGTCAAACAAGAGTCATCAGAAGATGACATATCCCCCCGGCCCCCACATCTTTGAAAGAACAAATCATCTGACAGTTACTTAAAGTCCAGCTTGATTTTAGACTAAGTGCAAATCATTTCCATGGAAACCGAGAAAATAATAAATCACAAATATCTGCAAATAGCAATAGGCATCACTTCAATATCTGCCTCACATATCTGCCAAGTTTTGCTGAAAGATATAGAGAGGTTTTTGAGTTGTGCTCAGGAAACGAAGCCCACCCCTCACTTTTGGGATTAAGTCCGAATCGTTTCCATGGAAACCGGGAAAAATAAAAATGCCAAAAATCTGCAAATAGCAAAAGGCACCACTTTAGGATCTGTTTGATATATCTATCAAGTTTTGTTGAAAAATATTATACGGTTTTTGAGTTGTGCTCCGGAAACGAAAGCAATCCTTACTTTTTGAGACTAAGTCCAAAATGTTTCAATGGAAACCAAGAAAAATAACAAGAGTCATCAGAAGATGACATATCCCCCCGGCCCCCACATCTTTGAAAGAACAAATCATCTGACAGTTACTTAAAGTCCAGCTTGATTTTAGACTAAGTGCAAATCGTTTCCATGGAAATCATGAAAAAAATAAATGACAAAAATCTGCAAATAGCAAAAGGCACCACTTTGGGATCTGCCTCACATATCTGCCAAGTTTTGCTGAAAGATATTAAGAAGTTTTCGCGTTGTGCTCCGGAAACAAAACCCATCCCTTCCTTTTTTGAGACTAAGTTTGAATCATTTCCATGGAAACCGAGAAAATAATAAATCACAAATATCTGCAAATAGCAAAGGCATCACTTCAATATCTGCCTCACATATCTGCCAAGTTTTGCTGAAAGATATAGAGAGGTTTTTGAGTTGTGCTCTCGAAACGAAGCCCACCCTCACTTTTGGGATTAAGTCCGAATCGTTTCCATGGAAACCGGGAAAAATAAAATGCCAAAAATCTGCAAATAGCAAAAGGCACCACTTTAGGATCTGTTTGATATATCTATCAAGTTTTGTTGAAAAATATTATATGGTTTTTGAGTTGTGCTCCGGAAACGAAGCAATCCTTACTTTTTGAGACTAAGTCCAAAATGTTTCCATGGAAACCAAGAAAAATAAAAATGCCAAAAATCGGCAAATAGCAAAAGGCACAACTTTAGGATCTGTTTCATACATCTACCAAGTTTTGTTGAAAAATATTGAACGGTTCTTGAGTTATGCTCCGGAAACGAAGCCCACCCTTCTTTAAGACTAAGTCCAAAACGTTTCCATGGAAACCGGGAAAATTAAAAATGCCAAAAATCTGTGAAATGCAAAAGGCACCACTTTAGGATCTGTTTGATATATCTACCAAGTTTTGTTGAAAAATATCGAACGGTTCTTGAGTTATGCTCCGGAAACGAAGCCCACCCTTCTTTAAGACTAAGTCCAAAACGTTTCCATGGAAACCGAGAAAAATAAAAATGACAATTATCTGTAAATAGCAAAAGGCACCACCTTAGGTTTTTTTTGACATATCTACCAATTTTGGTTAGAAAATATCGAACGGTCTTTGAGTTATGGTCCGGAAACAAAATGATTACGGACGGACGGACGGACAGACGGACGAGGCGACGACTATATCCCACCGCATTATATGCCGGTGGGATAAAAACTAATCTGAACAAAGTCACAGTAGTTTTTCCCAACTATCCCTACACTCCCCTCATACAATAAATAATAAGGAAGAAGACAAGGTCATCAATATCCCCCCCTGTATTTGGTTCCTGTTTTTTTAACTCCACCACGACATTCATGCCCTAAACACACATACTACATTTGGTTTTCTCCATCTATAACAGTTCCTGAGAAAATCTGTTCACATTGGGGGTAATGTGCACCAAGTCAATAATCAAATGTGGATCAAACATACTAGAGACTAGTGGTGTTCCAATTAATTGAAACAATCGAATATTGGTTGCAGTGACCAAACGACCAAGCAATCCATCACATTTTCTCAAACAATCGAACAAAAACAATATTGGAACTAGTTTTAGTCTTTGAAATACTTGACAATGGAACATATCGTTGAAGTTGTCAGGGCCTGAAAAAGTGTTTAATTCTTAGAAAACTCACTTCACTAACTGAAAAGCCATGACTGAATACTTCTTGAAGACTCCGGGAAGGTTATGTTCATATATTAGACATCACTTTAAAGTAGCAAGTTGCATCATGTTATACATATCTGCAATAACAACCTGGATAGGAAAATCTGAAAAATGACGCTAACCAATTTTTTGTTTATGATTGTTCGTTGGTAATGCAGCAATCATCAATTGTGAGATTTCAACCAATCCCCCAACACTACCAGAGACTGACATATGCACTGTCACACAGCATCTAGTTACGACATGATATCAACCGAGTCACAGAAGCTGATCCCACCCATCAGTGTCCTCCCCTCTTACAATAACTTATATCAAGCCAACTCAACATGGGATTAACAAAGGGTAAATTTAAGTCAGATAATTCTATCATAGTTGCCATTACAATGGGTCACATCTTACATGGGTCATACTTGCAACTGCTTGCATTACTCATTAACTCTTTCAACACCAGTCAACCAGAGGCATTTACTGCCATGACACCGAGTTCCCAGAGACTCTGAGGTCATAGATGAAGCCTATGTTTATGAAGGAAATTATAAGCTTGTAAAACGTTATTGCTACTACATCCCATACACCATTTAAAAGATCTAATCCTTCTGTTGATAAATATGAAGTTTATTTTTATAATATTATTCAAATAATACAACTACAACTTAAATAAATTTATATTTGAATGAAAATGCAAGCTTACATTTATAACGTCCAGGTAAACCACGAAAAGGAGCAAAACTATGGCGATTTTTTCCATTTGTGACATGTCATAACATGCCCGTGCCCTTTTCTTTTATATTTTCATTTTTATGTAATCAGAAAATTATTATAAAAAGATTTCTTAAACAATATGTATGGTCGCCTATTTCCCGATATCTGTGGCTTTCCTTCGGTAAAATGACATAACAACTGAAAATACCTCCGCTTTCGAAGCTTCTTATGAATAACATGCTAGGCTTAATCGTTGGATGTCGGGCATCGCTCAAAGCTCTGAACATCAACAATATCACTGTACCCTTGCCAAGAGTATTTTCACAGTTGTAAGAAGTGATTTTATTGGATAAAGATTGGTTTCTAATGACGCTTTTCAGCCACAGTCTGCTATAAGGGTCGTGATTGGTCAAGATCAGACACGTGACATGAGGCAGCCAATCATATTACGGCAATGGATACCGTCCTCGTAAACGAAAACTTTTAGATTTGGACAAAAGTTTTGGGTAAAATAATGCTATTCTGAACATATTAAGCAAGAAATCGCTACCTATACGTCAATTATGGAACTTATTGGACGTATCGTGCTAGGTTATGACCTGTGACAAAAATGCTTCATGTATGTATTTTCGCATTAAACATCGTGTCCGAGCATGAAGATTGAGGCGGCGAGAGCCGAGATGTCACTTGTCAGTGACTCGACTTGCATTACATGATCGCACAAAAAGATGGAAATAGTAATTTTATATGTACGTTTGACAACTTTTATGAATGCTGTTGTTGATTTTATTCATTAGTTTATTCAATTTATTTAATAATTTCCTCGAAACATCGTTACTTTGCTCTTTGACAATGTTATTGTGGACCCGCTGCCGAAGCATGTGTCCGAGAATCGTTTTCAATAACATTGCGAAAAATAGTTTATAATTTTAATTCTGCTGATAATATATGATAAATTGAAATTTAATAAGTGTTTTCAGACATTGTGAAATGTGATAGATTTGATATATGAATCAAAAGTCAGGTAGGTTCCTAAAATTATGTCTCATTTTGACGTGACTACTGCCTGGCCGATTAATCGGCCTCCGGTGTCTGGGGACTCATAACTTTGTGGCCGATTATTCGGCCTGCGGTGTTGAATGGGTTAATTTCATTCTCATGCAGCTGTTGGTTTCATTAGAGATGTTCAGTTCAAACATTAATGATAGATCGGTTATCTTGCATCACAACATGAAGAGCCACAACATTAGCAAGCTAAACAGAGGGAAATAGACCAACTTTCTAAAGTTCTTACAAGTTCTGTTCTCTGCATGGTTTGTCTCCCCTGTCACAGCCACAAGGGCTCAGAGAAGTCTATGGAATATGCAGAGGTCAGCCCACACCCAAACAAGTTTAGGGGACTGGTTTTCTCTCCAACATTGTGGAAAGGGAATATACCTCACACCCAAAATGGGCACTCAGCTCCCATTTGCCACAAAGACAGAGCCACAGTCACTGAGGACTATGGATGTCAATGTTGGTGTTGCTCGCGTTCTCGTCCATAAAGATAATCATTACCGGGGCAAAAACGATAATCTGAACAATATCTGTGGATGGGGCTGTCCGATCTTCACGCAGTGACTATCAAAGATTTTATTTAAATTAGCTTCATGAATACAAAACTAAACTAATTCAATTCAACAGAAAGGGGAACTCACTTAGTGCTCAGAGACAAATAATATCAGAAAAGGATTGATACAAAGCTTCTGATACAAAGGAGGCAAAAATGCAGGTGCTCTCCACAGAAAGAAGCCTACACAGTACAAGAGAGGCAGACTGGACTCACCTGGCCTTTGAAGGCATCAATGATGAACTGGAGATGTTTGGGGTCTACACACTCTATACACTTTTGCACTACATGATTGCCATTTTGATCTTTCACACACTTCAACACATGTCCATCCAGTTCTTTCACGATCTCAACCTGAAACAGAGCAGGTCACAGAATGACAAACAACTACATGGTTAGGAATACAGTAAACCACAAAACTGCACCCTCTCTCATATTAAAATGATTAAAGACTGGTTAGGTTTCACACACAAATAGACAAAATGTTAAATGAATTAGCTTCCTCATCTTACATGGTATTCTTATAGCCTATTCAAACAGCCATCTTTAACATCATCACAAACAAAACTATGCAATGGAATAATATATATTTTCTAAAATTTGATTGAATGGAATGCCTTGTGCACAACTTTTGAAGTAGTTAAAGAATACCTACAATTAGAAGGCTGTATTGCATTACCCACCAGTCATAAGACATCATAAGAGTCATGAAAAACCTTCTTTGAGCAGTATATTGTTTTGGAATGCTTTTTGTAGTGTTGTGAGTACCTGCATGTCTGCTGGTATGGATTCCAATGCTTTCTGGATAACTCGACAGCCGTACATCTGTAAAGCTAGTGGCAATACATGGCCTCGTACTCGCTGAGCTAGGGTCTGCTTCTGATCTGAGGATCCAAACTCGAAGAATTTTTGGATGACGTAATTTCCAAAGACATCCGTCATGAGACTGTATGCTGCTGTGAGAATCTCCCCGAACACCATGGCCTTCTCTTGATGAGTTGCACGCTCAAGCTTCTGTTGAATGAATCTGAAATGTCATCAGTTTCATGAATGAGTGAACACGGCCCCCAATATGACTTGAAGAATATTTTCGTTTAACACCACAGTGACTGTTACATTTTATCATTATGTCTACAGTGTAAACATTCTGTTTGAGAGCTGGTTCATGATGTCTTATGGTGTGAGCATTATATATGCATAGATGCCATCACTCTCTTGTGGGGATTCTTGTCCTCGGCAATTTGTGACAGAGGCGTTTCATTAGGCAGTCAGACATCAACTGTGTAGGATGATGAACGCAAAACCATTCACAAGATTGTCTGGTTCATATACATTTACTGATTAGAGGGTGTAGCGTCAGAATGCAAGAAAACAACCTTTGCGGTCCCCAAATACCCATAAGATCCAAAAACTGTACAGAGGAAAAGAAATGAACACAAACCTTGAACCATGTTGGTCCTGGGAGAACTCAACCACGTGATTGACAAGGTCCTTCAGCTGGAGATTTGGAATACGGTTGTTACGGAAGTCCTCAAGCAGACGGCTACGTCCCTGTCACCTCCTTCGACAAACTAGCACTGAAATTGAATGAAAAGGAAAAAATAAGCAAAGCTCAATAATATCCACAAATATGACTCCTAACTTCAGCTGAAGAATTAATAATGATTATTCTGGACAAATATACAATCTCTGTATCAAACTTTGCCCTGCACCTTTCCTGTGAATCCCACAGCAAGTGTAACTCCCATTATGATTATTTCACATAAACCAATAGTCACAAATGAGTGAGTGAGTTTAGTTTTACGCCGCACTCAGCAATATTCCAGCTATATGGCTCTGTAAATAAATAATCGAAGCCTGGATCAGACAATCCTGTGATCAACAACATGAGCAACGATCTACGCAATTGGGAACAGATGACATGTTTCAACCAAGTCAGCGAGCCTGACCACCTGATTTCATTAGTCGCCTCTTACAACAAGCATGGGTTACTGAAGATCAATTTTAGCCCAGATCTTCACGGGTGAAAGGAAGTAATGAAAATGACAAAATTTACCTTCGAGATGCAAAATTACGATTCTGGAACAAAGTGGAGTTTCCAAACAGACCATTGGCTGGGGAGATAAGTCCAGCTCGGTACTTTGCTTCGGCTCCTGGGGCAGCTGAGTAGGGACGTCCACTACCACCTAGACCTGACAAGCAACGATCAACATTATGAGGGAAAGTCACTAATTACACTGGGACATTGCACGCAGAAAGGTTTCAAATTCACTTCGCACTTCACAATTACTCAGCTCATCATGCAGTCCTAAGCACATGAACAAATGTTATAGGGATAGTACACATATGCACCATATTTGCTGTAATCAGCACCCTCAGATCTCAACTAACTGGGGCAATTATTAACTTCATACATCAGAAAAACTTATTCAAAATCAAGAAGCTAAGAGTAGTATTATTTAAACTTTGATGTATCTAAAACATTTTGGATGATATCTGTATGGAATAACTGTTTCTACATAACTGTTAAGTGAAAATGATTTGTAATATGCACAAGAAATTACAGATTCCCTTGAAAATTGTTAGTCACCAAGCACTGAGATTAATCGGTCTGGACATTGGTCTGGAAGCATTTACAAGAGCAAAGCACTTGCATGGCAAGTGCAGTAACAAGAAAACTGTCTCACCACAATTATCCCACGATCCTAGTGTGAGATTCGAGGTTGATCCAGAGAGTGATGGGGGCGGCGTCATGGACTGCCCCGGCTGCATGAGACCCCCAGGGCCAGCCGGAGAGGCCATCCCACTTAGTTGGCTGTAATAGCCACCAACAGGAAGCTGTTGCCGCTTCACATCGAACGATTCATCATAAAACATTCATTATTTTTCAGGCTGCTGACAACCATTTGAAAATACTTTGGTTATGTAAGCATTATTTTGTATCGAGCAACAGTTTAGTTTTACGCACTCCATATATTAACACGTCAACAGTAATAGTAAACTATTCATAGTAGACAATTTGAATGTGGCAGTCGCACTACTGACGTCTATCCCTAAAAAGGTTGCATTATCAAAGCTGTATAAATGTACTACCTCACACACAGCTTAAAGAAACATTTCACAATTATGTGTCACAGCTAGCCGATTTTGGTGTACACAGATATATCATGCACAGCAACATCTACACACAACCAAACTTGCAGTTGGTCAAATACCTTAATTCACAAAGTTCCGTAATAAAATAAACTTGAAAAATTGGGGGATACAGTCTGGGTGCTACAATGATCACCAACATCCAATTGTGGAAACATAACTAAAATATCTGTCTTACTGGCATTTCATTGCAAAACCTATTATATTTTATTTATTCACAATATGAATAGGCATTAGCTGAATAGAAACAGTATGCTATTAATTGGAATATATGACTGTCCATCTTTTACTATATAAATAGTAAAATCAATTATGTCTCCATATTGTGCAGGTTCAAGATAGTGAATGTTACCAAACTATTAATGTCCACCCAAACCACCAAAAACTGAAATTGCTCTTTTCCCATTCAAATCTGTCTGTCGAAATGTCTTTTTGGCACTGAAGAATAGTAAGCGTTTTTCTAAAAAGGTCTTTGATTACCCTTTGCAGTCATACTGTGTAATACTAAGACTCATACTGTACATATTACAAAACACATTCGTGTGGTGTAGAGTGGTGTAGTGGTGGTCCGATTAATTGAAATAATCGAGGATTGGTCGCAGTGAACACTTTCTGCTAAACGACCAAGCATTCGATCATGTTTTCTCATAATCGAACATAAACACTTTCTGCATTAACAATATTTTTCACAAGGTTGGTTTTGTCTGTTACATTTCATGAGCACTAAAAGCTCGTTCCAAGTCATGATTGCATTTATCTTAAAGACCCCCACAAATTTAGGTTTTCTTACATACTAGTCATCCTTTAAAGATGTGTAATTTGAAAAAAAACACACAAAAAAACAAAAACAAACCCAATGTCTTATCTTTATGTTTTTGTGCAAACCAAAATAACCAGGAAAATATCACAAAGGACGCTAACTAATTATTTTCGATGATTGATCGGTTGTAATGGTTCAATCATCAATTACGAGATTTTAACCAATTCCCAACACTGGTGTGGTGTGGTGTGGTGTGGTGTGGTGTGGTGTGTAATGGGCCATAGGCCTCATTACAAAGTACAAAACTTACAGGTTCCTGAAAAAGCAACTGACAAAATTCATGACTTACTAAACAATCTACCGTTCATGCACTACTCTCTACTGTTGTCTACAGTACTGCCAACCAAACCCTCAATTCCTAACATGATGAATGGTGATGATGTGTTAGTATGTGAACAAAGTGCTAGGTGACCTGTAACAGTGCCGTTGCCTGGTAGAACACTCATATTGGATCCAACACTCCACCGACCTCTTACCTCAGTCAACTCAAGACTATGGCAGTTTTGAAGGAGTTATAATCACTGAAGACAAGCCAAGCCCTGTTACAGTCATGCAAACATTCACATATTAGAACCGACGCAGAGTAAATGATTCATTTGAACATTATCCAAAGAAAAGGCCTGGACCCTGCTACACAAAGTGATCTTATCCCACTAGGTTTAGGCATGAGTGAGTGAGTGAGTTACGTTTTACGCTGCTTTTAGCAATATTCCAGCAAGATCATGAGCTAACCCTTTAACCACTAGGCTGCCCCACCGCCCCCAGGTTTAGGTGAGGTGAAATTGGGTTTAACGTCGTGCTTGAGAATATTTCGCTCATATGACGACGTGCATGCGTGTGTATGTGTATGTGCGGCTGCTTGTACTAGCCCAGACTGAAGCTGGTTTTATAGTGCTAGCCCACTAAGATACCATTCCGCAGTGAAGCATGAATATCCCACTCAGACACATTTTACTGACTCCGAGCCGACCAGTCCTTGTTGTACCCATTAATGCTGAGCGCCAGGCAGGGACCAACAAGTACCATATTTTAGCGTCTTTTTGGTATGATGCGGCCGGGGATCGAACCCGTGACCTTCCGCTCTCTGGGCGGACACTCTAACCACTACACCACGGAGGCGGTCCCCCCAGGTTTAGCTATGATATACACAACTGACAAAGGATGCAATATGACACACAACACTTGTCACACATGGACACATATTCTTTCATTAAAGCACAAATACACACATTTTAGCAGGAGATTGAAGTTGGTGAAAAAAGAAAAGAAATCCCTTTGCCCTGAAAATACTGTAAAAATGTAAAATCCTAGTGAAGCCTATTTTAACACCTGTAACAGGAACAGTGGTACCAAAGGTTGCTTTGGCAGATTTAGCCACATCTGTTTCACAAAGTGATGTCAGTTCTACAGTATACAAACTGGAACTGATCATGTTGGGTTTCACACGTCAGCTAGCTCCATGAGGGAGAAATGCATCAGGTGTGAACTCATGTGGTTTCAGACTTTACCACTTTTATGACACCCAGATGCAGAGGTGCTGTTGTGACACACCTTGAATCATAACTGGAGTGGCTGACATACCACAGGACATTAATGGGGTGAACGGGGATGGGGCAAACCCACATTATCAGTTTTATTACGTACGAAATGCGACTCTNCAAACAAATGCGACCCTAAGTAATTCCTACCTACAATCTTAGCACTAAGATTACTCAGTGGAAAACGAGGTCCAGGCATCTTTTGAATATTGTTCTCTAACAGGTAATTTAAGAATACAGGAATCAAAGGAGGGGAGACCTACACAACTTCCATCTGATCTTCCCTCTCAGCTTTGACAATGTTAATTTACAGGATTAGAATAGCCATACAAAGACAGTAATTGGCCCACACAAATACAACGGGCAAAACCAAATAATAAAGTTAAGTCTGCACAACAATTGACACTGAGCTGCTCTACGAACACAGCTATCAGGGCTGGACTGGTCTCAGGTTCTATCAAAGCTTCATTCAGGAGCATCAGCAGCACCATCATCTACGAACCTGATCCTATCGCTCCCGGCGTGGACGAGCCTAGACTTGGGAGTCCGTTGCTACTGTAGCTGGTCTGTTGCTGGGGGTTGAGACTAAGATTGGCGGCTATTGGGGTGAACAGACTGGTGGTTACTTGAGTGTAGCCCAGGCTGCTGGAGGGGGTATAGCCTGCTAGGAGGGAGGAGGACACATGTAACCTGGCCTCGGTGGCACGCAGTGCAACAAGGATGCATCCAGGACGAGCTAGCGGAAGCATTCTACCTAATTTGATTACTTTTTCTACAGGACTAAAGCGTTTAAGGTAACCATGAAGGTATGGGATTGAACCTGAATCAAGCAGACTTGTAAACTGAAAAACTTTTGCACAATCTTTGAATGGGCTGAATCAATACATGTTAAACATGAATGCCAAAAGTGATTGCACGAGTAGTTACAGATAGACCAGTTAGGAGACCTGGGTAGTAACATGAACTATTTATTTAAATATAACTGTGCACTAAATAAATTGCTAAATTTCATGCTTAGGACTTTCAGCCCAAAAATATCTGTATGACTATCTCACTCCCATCTACGACCTGGATGCACCACTGTTCCAGAATCTAACCCTCATTACAACAGTGATATATTATCATCAGATATGAAGAGTTTATATGATCATTTTAGTGTTCATCAAAGTGCAGAGAGTGATACGTTGCCTCAAAACAAGTGCAGAAAAAAACAGTTATGTCAAAACTGGTTTAGTAAAACTTTTCAATAGTGCAGTAATTGGAAACTCAAATACAACCGTACTAAATGTACACAACATTGTAAGCAATGATTTGAACTGCATTAAAGATATATCAGGAAGCAACTCTATGTTTTTTTTATCTGAAAGAAGGGCAGGTATGTAATTACCATCCAAAATCATTCATTCAATTTCTCATTAATGATTGTCTCTAGTATAAGAGTACTGTTAACTGGTTCCAGTGGCATAAAGATTAATCATGTCATTTGATTGTCACATCACAAAGGTCTTCAAAAGAGTGATGCAATATCATACATATGCAGCTTTACTGCAGCAGTATCTCCTGTGGAAACCAGTTCTGCATGATAAGCATCAGACCACCTTCCAAATTAGAGCAACTCTATCATTTGAGACTGTCCCTACGTCTAAGAAGGCGGCTCTACAAGCTGCTACTTCTACAGATGTTCCATTCCCTCCGGGTCATTACATACTTACATGCATTCAGTCATCAAGCAGGTAAGTCATATACCATGTCAGTAATGCTACAACCTAGCACATTGTTCCTAATAGTTTAGTAGATGACACAGATGTTAATACTTATAAGGGACCATGGAACAATGAATGTAAAGAAATTAAGATAAAATTCTATTTTGGCTGTAGAAAGTTGAAGCAAAATGAATCATAAAAAGATGTTAATCAAATTTCAATGATGAAACCAAGTACAAAATGATCTTTTGTGAATGTTAGAGTGCTATATTAAAGCTGAATCGTCAAAATCTTGAGTCAATGTAAAGGTCCCCTGCAAGTATCAATAGCTCAATGTTTCCAATGCAGACAGGTGTGCGGACACGTACCTAAAGAGCTACTCTGTTGCTGGGAGTTGCTGTTGCTACTAGACAAGACGACTGGCGGGGTCTGAACTTGCTGAGGCTGTGTTGTTAAAAGACGCAGCGTGTTGTTGCCCATGGAACTGTTCCCGCCTGGCAGAACAAGACAAATGTTCATGACATGCATCCATGGATCCATCCTTCCTATTCAAGCCTGTGAATTCTCCATGTGGGGCCAGACAAACTAGGGCTTCATACACTACACAAGGGTAGGGATCAGGGATATTTATATAAGATTGTGTGCTTAAGTGTCACTACAACAAACATCATCCTCCATTTTTCAATCGACCCATAACCAATGAGTCCAAAAAATTATGATAGTACCCAGTGTATGAAATAAGCCAAACATCAGGGCTGGTAACTTCAAAATGTTACCAGCCCAAAATGGATTTAGCCAGACCAAATATGGTGAATTTACTCAGATGTATGGAACATCTAAAATTTTTACCAGACCATCGGGCTGGCAAGCTGAAAATTTAGACCGTCCGTCAGAAATCTAGACCGTTTCAGGCAGTCGGACAGGCTTTATTTCATACACTGTAGTACCTAATATTTTGATACTCTTAAATTTTAAAAGCTCTTAACTATCCAATAACATAAATCCAGTATATTACAGGGAGTGACCGTTGTAAATCAGTTCTCAGGCTAGTATGACAGTTATGCCTCATGCATCAAAATATAATCAATGGGTGACTTGTAATCTTTCTGCTCTGTTCATATCACCGAGATATTAACTAAGCACAACAGAAACCTGGACTTACCTTGTTGATTGGCATTAGCACTGACAAGAACCGGAGCTGGAGAAACGAGGCGAACTGGCGTGCCAATGCCACGAGGGTTACCCATCACTAACTGTCCATTTTGATCATAATAAGCAGGTGCAAGTATCTGGTAGCCAGCATCTGCAACAGCCATATCTGCTACTTCACTGAATATTGATGCAGTACAGGAACATTATCAGTTTCAATCTCAAATATAGCACCTGTTCTAGTGTCTGGGAGGTGGGTGGTACAAACACTGTTGGACACACTATGAACCCCTTTGAGGAATGGGGTCTCCATTTCATATACCAGGTAAATGGCATTTAATACATATATCAAGTCTGCTAAACTTGTGTCTGGTAAGAAAAATGAAATCAGAAAGATGTTGTACATTAGTGTGTATTCCATTAATGTCATCATCAAAGACTTTAGTTCCCATGGCAATATGGGAAAATATATCTTACCCTAAATGGTGCTTTCTAAATGTGAAAATAAGTTTCAAACCAATTTTCTCTTTATTTGTCCAATTTTCAGAGGGTTTTCACCGGGCAATAAAAAAACATACTGAAACTTTATATTTGAATTGAGGATTTTTACCACCAATTGCTGCTGACCCTGAGATGGTTATTAACATCTGAACTCCCAGACTAATACCCAAATCCCTTCCATGACAAAATTATATAGTTACTTGGAGCCTGGAGTGGTTGTGCTTGTAGTGTCTGAGGTGTTCCCATGCCATCATTCTGCTGGGACGGCGTGAGCGGCCTCCCATTACTCTGTCGTGGCATCATCTGTGTCTGTTGTTGCTGCATGCCCTGAGGGGTCTGCTGCCCTTGGGGCTGCTGTATGAGGTTGGCAGGGTATATACCCCATGGCGTTTGTACCCCATAATACTGAGGGTGAATTACTGTGGGGCCTACAACAGCAATGTAGGAGTGAGGCACAGACCTACGCACAGGCCATACACTGCATGCAAACCTTTACAAGCAGGACCAAAATAGAGAAATAACAAATTCAGAAAGACAAATTCAGCAGAGATTTTTATATATCAAGCAAAATGCTAAATAATGTCACAAAAATTCAGACCAAATAAAACTTAATGAGAAAATTGGAAAGTTAACAAAATACACAGATAATGAAAAACAAAATAAGATAACACCAGTGTCTGCTTGCTCTTACTACCCAGTAAGGCTCCGAAGGATGTGCTCAGAATTGTGAAGGTTGTAAGAAAGGGACCGGAGTTCATCCAAAAGTGAATTAAACATAATTGAAGCAGAGTAACTCCTGTGCCACCCTAGGAAGCCTCAAAAAGAGAAGTACGTAGATGCTAACCTGCAATTGGGATCCCCACAGTATACGGATCCTGCGCGCTCAGAACGTAGGGGGGTGGAGCAATTGCAGTAGGGGCCAAGCCTACACGAAGAGCGAAGCACACACTATAAGCCATGCACAACCAATGTGTTTGTCCTACCATGCCCTGGCTGTATGTACAGCACACAATTCGTGTACTCCATGCATTTGATTGGCCACAACTTCCAAACACTCAAAGAATCGGTTACCATGCTTTTTCACCCATCAATTCTTACATCACCTTAGACAAAACGTTGATGCCAAAATGTGCAATTTTAATTATTTCACACCAAATATTTATGAAATATGACTATACAAGGCCTAAAAAGATAAAAATGTTGTGGTTTTGATTACCCGACCGACCCTTGAATTCTGGTGCCGACCCTAATATTTTAAGCGGTACAAATGAAAGAGCTTTTAGATACCATTGTTTTTTTCCCAGCACCGACGGACATCGGTCATTCTGATAGAGGAAGTCGACATGATGGCCGAAATCGTGATTGAATAAACAATTATACATTGATAAATGTGTGATTAGTTTGTACTTTACTTCTAAAAAAAAACGTTCAATTTTTTATTTCCAAAAATCCTACCTACATACCCTAAATTTTAAAGAAGAGGTGAACTTGGGTTTAACGTTGTGCTTGAGAATATTTCGCTCATATGACGACGTGCATGCGTGTGTATGTGTATGTGCGGCTGCTTGTACTAGCCCAGACTGAAGCTGGTTTTATAGTGCTAGCCCACTGAGATACCATGCCGCAGTGAAGCATCAATACCCCACTCAGACACATTATACTGACTCCGTGCCGACCAGTCCTTGTTGTACCCATTAATACCGAGAGCCAGGCAGGGACCAACAAGTACCATATTTTAACGTCGTTTGGTGTGACGCGGTCGGAGATCGAACCTGCGACCTTCACTTAATTTTAAAGATGTAATCGGAACCACCACATTTTTTTTATTAGGGCCAATTATAAACAGTTAGAAATTGCTTGTATTTTTACCAAAATTAAGTACTCATGAGTGAACAAGCACAATGTGTACCTTTTCCAGCTTGGTATTCGAGGAAATTCATACAATTCTTCAGTTCATAATTTCAATTTAAATGATGGAATTTCATCTACTTCAATTTTAAAAGACATAATTGCCCAAGTACCTGATTATACTAATAAACAACTATCAGGGTTTCGCCCGTAAGAGACTGAAGTTCAATGTGGCTCAATGAGAAATCTGGATCACGTGACGGTACATACCAAGCTAGAGAGGTGGCATTTCAACATATCTCGGATTGAAGTTAGTGCCAATGCAACATAGTTACATACAAAGGATGATGGAACAGATACAAAATATCATTCAAACTTAAAACTTCAAGATGTTAATAGTCACAACATGAACATCAAGAAATTACAGGAAAACGGCAACAAGAAACTAAAATATGAGTACTTCCAGTCAATTCAACATTCATGAATTACTCTATCTGCAACACATGAATATCCTCATAACAGATACAAATGGCCATAGACACACAACATGAAAAAACTCTGGTCAATCTTTAAACCAGCAAAACATTTTATAATATATAAATCTTTAAATACTCTTTGAATGAAATATACCAATGCATGTATTTATCACTGGACAGCAGTTAATGTTCTCAGCATTGGCTTTGTTATTGGTACCAAACCAAGATTAAGTTTGACATTTCATGGGTACACCTGATGAAGTCTTTATGCGTTATTTGCCTGCAATATGCCACCTAACAGGTATACAGTCAAGAGAGAAAATCCATGTGGGATGCCAAACAATGCAGGCTGCCAATAACTTCTTGCAATTTGACCTCATAGTATGTTTTGTCTTACAAGCATGAGTGACCCATATGCATGCAGCTGGTTTCGGACCTTTCAAGTATCATCATATGAGAGAAGAGGACATTACATATTTCCATCTGCAGAAAAAGTTATGTTGACTGTGATAGGCCAGAGGAAATTTCAAAATTAAGTTGACAGTTAAGGCTTTATATGTAAGGTGAACTCAATGTTAGATGCTGTGGAATTTGAAGGAAGGGATCAAAGTAGGGACCCCTTGAGTGTCATGCTTAATTTAGAACACTGACACTGTCATATGTCAAAAATTAGCTTCTGAGCATTTCGTAAAGACCTACATTAGGTATGCCAAGGCCTCTCTCCTTTTGCTGTGCCCCAGGTGACAGTAACCTGAACCAATCAAATTGACTCCCAGTCTGCTTTCATGCACACACACAAAGTTTGGACAACAAAAGATTCACGACAATCAAGTACCTACCCAGTTGCTGTTGTTGTGTTGCTAATGCGTACTGCTGTTGAGTCAGTACAGCTATGGGCTGCTGCTGCTGTTGCTGACGCTGCAGAAGCTGAATATAACCAAAGACATCCACTGATATCCTTTCCAAAATTTAACTCATTTGTCAAACAAAAACATGCTTATCTGTGTACGATTTTATATTTTCCTCCATAAGGAAAGAATCTTTCATTTCCTTATTGAAAGTGTCACATGTATGAGATGGTGTTATTCTTACAAGTGATGGTGATGGTGTTATTCTTACAAGTTCAAAAAATTATTCTTACAAGTTCAAAAAATTATTCTTTCAAGTTCAAAAAAAATTATTCTTACAAGTTCAAAAAATAAAATAAGCAATGATAAAACATTTCTGGGCAATCCACAGATAGGATTATTTTGCGCAATTCAAGCCCATGATAATATGCATAACACAGGAAACTGTCAGAGTGAGTGAGTATGGTTTTACGCAGCTTTTAGTAATATTCCAGCAATATCACGGTGGGGGACACCAGAGGAAACGGTCAGATGAAAGAACACGCACAAGACGTTTACCCACCTGGTTGTAATCCATGTTGAAATTTGGACTATCCATGGAGGGCATGAGTTGACTGCTGTAGTCAAACTGCCCAGGATCAATGCCAACAGGTTCAAACTGGGGAGTGTCCAGCTGAAATCCTTGCTGATGCACAACAAGTGAGGGCTGCTGGTCCAGGAAGTCCCCATCTGGCTTCAGCTGCATCTTACTGGGGTCCAGCTGAAGCTGTGTGGGAGGGACCTTGCCTTCATCACCAGTTGGGGAGGTTTGTCTGCTCCCTCCTCTGTGGAGGAAAGGAAACATGTTCCGAATGTTTTTCCCCCAATGATACTCAACATGAAATTTGCATTCAATAGAATCAATTATAGTAGCTTTTCTAGTTTTTCTTAAATTAATCTTACAAGTTCATGGCAAAAAGGATATTTAAATACTGATTCAATAGTTCTATTTCGCAAATGCTTTGCTCTTTCTGAGAGCACAGAGTTATTGATACAGAATATGTCAGTAAAATTTCCACGACATAAATTACAAACACTCCAGCATTCTTGTGTACACATTATTTTCAAATGGTTGTAAAACTGTTTGATTGGCATTTTTGAAGTTGATGAAAAATAAGATTGCTTGAGAGCGGTATAAAAATCTATACAGAAACGACGCATCATAATATAATAAAGACGTTGAAGTATCATACCTGTCTTGACAGAGTACTGACCACTCTTCAATACTATTCTAATGTTATAGCTTACATACTGTCTTCTAACCATTATGGCAGGTACATTTCATAAACATGACTGACTGACTGAGTCAGTGAGTTTGGTTTTACGCCGCTTTTAGCAATATTCCAGCAACATCACAGCGGGGGACACCAGAAATGTGATAAACATGAAGAGCCATACTTGTGTTCTTTAAATGCTGCTTTTAGCAAAAGAAACTGGCTTCCAACAGTGTATCACCGTGGTGAACTGAACCTGGGACTTCAGGGTGACGAGCAAATGCTTTACCACTAGGGTACTCCAACTGAACACACGAAGGAGATGTTTATAATAATGCCACCCTGGATTAATCCTTGTTTTTCATCAGGAGTTCGAAAAATGTTTGCTTGTTTCACCTGAACCCTTGACCATCATCCAGTCCATTCTGCAGGATTCCGTTTTGCTGCAAGTCTTTATTCTCTTCTCCGCGGTCACCGCCGTCGTCCTCAAATGGTGATGGCGTCTTGCTCTTCTTTTCAGTAGATGCTTCCACTATACTTGGATCCTGGGCTGCTACAGGCTGAAGAGGTGAAACATCACTAAGTTAATATTTTTATTTATTGTATCTATTAAAGCTACATTAGGTTAGAACCATTTCTACTAAATCATAACATTAAGTCTGACTGACTGACTGACTGAGTTTGGTTTTACGCCGCTTTTAGCAATATTCAAGCAACATCAATTACACCAGAAATGGCTTAAACACATTGTGCCCATGTGGGATTCAACCCGGTCTTCGGCGTGATGAGCCAACGCTTTAACCATTAGGCTACCCCACCGCCCCCATAACCGTAGTAATTCTATTATACTAATATAGTTTTGAAATAAGGGAGCCATGGGATTCCTTTATATCTCCGATGTTTTAATCTTGGTACCCACAGAAAGTAAGGTAATGGTAACGGCCCTTTGACTTTGAAAAGTTTTAATTGGATTTCCTTATGAACCTACTGGAGTTCAAACTATTTCTTATGTCCAAGAATGTTTAAAATAATAATGAAAACAGAACTATGGTTAAATATGCACGATGAAGCTAAATGTGCAAAGCAGCAAATTGGAAATTATGTGGATGCAAATGTTGAAAAAGAAATAATTCAGATCCTGGCACAAAATGTCTGTTACAGAAATGAATAATTGTTTTATGCCCCATCAGCAATTATTCAGATATTCTATTTATGTTACATAATTGCATAAATTCAACAAAATATACATAAAACCAGGGGTGGAAATAACCCATTGCCCGACACCTGAGTCCAGTGTTTTTTTCTGCTGGGCAAGCAAATTTGTATATCACACTGTACCGGTGTCAAGTTTACCTTCCAACGTTAATTATGTTGTTTATTTAAAAAATCAACAAGAAAACAGCCGGTGTAGTGGAAAAATTATCAGGGCAAGTGATTTTACATGTGCCACTGTACCGGAGAACACTTGCAATTTTAAAGTTTTTCCACCCCTGAAAAACAGTGTAACAAGCTGTTACACTACAAATAAGCTTGCTTGATGTCACAATATCAACATTGTCCAGACGAAACAAAAACAAGCGTTTGCCACTGATATGGCAATGTCCCCCCGCCGCTAAAGAATGGAATATCCATATTTACTACTTTTTATTTTTTGGTCACATAAATGATGCCTGAAATGACTGGTGTCTGCATAATCACCCAATGTAGGCTGTCAACATAATTGAAAACATTGGGTACAACAGTCCATGAGATATCGCGTTTAAATAAGTTTGAAAAGTGGTCAGTGTCGTGGTGACCTTGAAAATAAGGTCAAGGTCACCGAAATCGACTGGTGTCTGGGTAATCCCCCAATGTAGGCTGTCACCAAATGTAAAGATATTGGGTACAACAGTCCATGAGATATCACGTTTAACAAGAGTTTGAAAGTGTTCAAAGTGTCGTGGTGACCTTGAAGATAAGGTCAAGGTCACCCAAATCGACTGGTGTCTGGGTAATCCCCCAATGTAGGCTGTCACCAAATTTGAAGACATTGAGTACAACAGTTCATGAGATATCGCGTTCACAAGAATCGGGACATACGCACGGACGCCGCTGAATACATATAATAATGGTGAGCCTTTGATTTGCTGACTGGACACTCAGTATGAAAATCTTTCAATGAATCTTTGAAACAGTCAAGCTAAAGGAAAAGTATACATTCTCAGAAGCCTGCACTTGAACTGAAAATCAAGAAAACGAAACCAGCAGAAAGCAGCTCATAGCTTTGCAGTACATAATGTAGTTTTAGTTTCAACACTTACTGTATTCTGATAACGACTTACAAAAGTCCCTTTCATCCTCATTCTTCCTTCCATATCCTTCCCAGTAGGAGAGCCACCGAGCACATACTCAACCATATTCACACCAAGAGCACTGGTTTCTGAAATCAGAACACATGTTTGAGAACAACTGGCAAGGGCTTAATCGCGGTGTTCATTTCAAGGACAAACCATGCAAGACATGAAAGGTGCTTGTGGGTTTCCCGTCTACACATACAGGACTTTATGGGACCGGAATTCCTGCGTCCTATACACATAAAAATTGATAATGGACGCAACAAAATTTATTAGCGCATCCACAGGGATGCAGAACAAAGTCCAAATACTTTTTGTTAATATTTCAATCAAGTAACAATTATATTCATAGATTCGTACCGTTACAGTTTGCGCAATGAAGTTACTATTCCAAGAAATTGTTGTTTCTTTTTTATCTGAATTTTTTTTGGTTTTGAGTACCATTAACACTAGGCAGTGTTATTTAGCATAAAGCATTACAGTGTAATTGTTCATGTGGTAAATCTGTCTATCATTAAACATCTGTGTTTAATTTTATTCATTTAAAGTTATCACTGTGTTTGCTATGAGCTGGGTTATGGTATCATTTACAATTACAGTACCAGTAACTGAATTACAACAATATTACAACATCATATTAATAATAATATTTAAGTGTCTAGGACCCCTGAAAATTAAGAGTAGGGGTCTCCTGGACCCTCAAATACAGGACTCGAGGTAAATCCCTGCATATACTTAACGTGGAACAATGTGTGAAATGTACAGACCTGGCCCACTCCATGTGTCGTCGCGCGTTGTCCAGGGGTGGTGTCCTGTGAAGATGCCACTCTTGCCTCCGTCCCCTCCCTTGTGCCCTTCCTCGCCAACCTCCCATATCTTCTTTGAAGGATTGATCTGGAAAAACAGTTCACATCAGACATTCAGGCCAAATATTATGAACACTTTTTAAATAATCAACACCCAATGGAAGGGAACTTTTATACAACTTCATTATTTCTTTAAGCAACACTTCAGGACAACAAACGCCTTCATCAGTCATTCATCATCTCAAGGATACCTTTGACCCCTTTGAGCAGAATATTTCCCTTCCTGTTACAAACAATTTAAATAATTGTTATTCACACAATTAAAATGCTTTTATTTTCTTGCTGCAACGAATACAATGGTAAAAACCATATGTATCAATGCCTATCACCAAGCTGAGTTTTTGCAGTGGCTTATTTAATAACAGCATCCCATTGGACAAGATAGGTGGAATATATCTGAGTTTTCACAACTTATTTTTTTTAAAGCTCAAGCCATCTTTAAAAAGACGTTTCATTTATGCATACATATCGAACAGATTTATGCAAATGAACATATACTTTGACAGTGAAAGTAAGTTCATATCATCCTAACATTAATTGATTAAATTTAAATAATGTAGTGCAGTCTTTCGTAGAAAAAATATTCCAACTATTTCCATGACTCAAGACATTCATACCATCAAACTTCTCACATTACATTCAGAGTGTAATAGTGGTCAGATCAGACGTAAATGATCAAGTTTTCATTAACACAACCATAACTCTTGTCAACTTCTCACTGTCATTACTTAGTATGTCATACCTGTACTGTGTGTTAAAATCAAGCTGTACTGCAGTAACATGAATTGTATCGCTAAAAGCTCAAGAAATCAGTAGAAACAGTCCCCCCAATCTACCCAGATTTACATCATTTTTTTAATATAAAAATGTGCAGATCATTCTGAATTTTTTCTACAGATCAAATCCTGTAACCTAAATCTATTTCTTCCTAAATGCATTTGTAAACACATACCTGAAAGTGTTAATTGGTAAACTACACCCTTGTGAAGTTTTACCACTTACTATATTCAGTGCGAAAAATCATTTCAACTTCAATGATGTTCTTGGGTGTGCCATTGGCTTTTATTTCTTTGTCTTAAACCAATCAGCAACCACAAATTATGGAACTGAAACATGTGTTCGACTTTTCCAGACGTTGGAACACAAAACTACAGGTTATGGTTGTAGTAAACATTAAGAAATAAGAAATATAACCCATTTCGAGGATGCATGTAGGTTGCATGCATCTCTTTTTTTTCTTCATATGGGACATGTAGCTACTTAATCAGAACTTTAACAATCTGCCAATTGAATTCATGAGGGAGGTTCTTCTTTTCTTGAAATCGGACATCCTTTCAATCTACAACGCACACGTTTTTTGTCTTGTTGTTGTATGCAAGTCACCTCTTTACCTGAATTTGGATATTATTATTATAACATACATAACATTTGTTTAACATAGCAAAATGCATGAATGGAAAAATAATAAGCACTTTAGTCAAGAGTATTGTTCCAAAAATTGAAATTCAATGTTTCCTAAAATAGTAAATATAGTAGATAGTTTTCACATGAACAGGTATTGACTACAATAATGATCTTTCATAAAGAAAATGAGTATGTTTAATCAACCAATTTCAACTAATTAGTCAAAGGAAAAACTGACCCACTCATATTCTGATCATAAATAACATACATAAGATTTGTTTAACATAGCAAAATGCATGAATGGAAAATAATAAGCACTTTAGTCAAGAGTATTGTTCCATTTGAAATTCAATGTTTCCTAAAATAGTAAATATAGTAGATAGTAACTTTTCACATGAACAGGTATTGCTAATAAATATTTCAAGTGCTAATAAATATTTCAAGTAAATGTCGAATGTTGAAATTGGCTACCATTATATATTCATTCAAAAGCAAAGGACACAGGCTTTGTGCTGTTTGTTTCTATATCTGATTGTCCACATTTGAATCAACAGTAAATTTTACAAAAAAGATAAAACTGATTAAAACAAGCAAACACACACATGAAAGACGGGGTCACTTCAGGTTAAAACAAACAAATTCCCTTTTCCATGTCAGGGATTGACAACATTGCTAATATGCCAACAATGAATCATGCCTAATAAATATTCAACATGTTCTTCTGGTCATTTACAAAAATATATACAAAACAATGATTGGATGATATGCTCTTAAATGGTTTTGAAGGAAATGAACTGCTGTGCTTGTGGGAAACTTCCGAACAGACAATGGTTTTCCAATTATAATCTATTATTTCTGCATTTATCTTTAGAGTTAATTCTTTCTTGAAATGAACATTTATTTTTATACAATACAAACTACTGCACACAACATGAATACTGAGTACCCACCAAATCAAAGAGAAACATTGCCTCTCTCTCTCTCCTTCCACTATCATGACATAATCCTAGCTAGTAATTTATCCCTCCAGTGCTGAGTCAGGTTGCCATGGTAACCAGTGTCATGTCTTAGTCATACAATGGACCATTTTAACTTAAGGCTGCTGCACCGAGCATGCATTTGTCAAAAATCAATTTATCGCTGGGGATACTTGTGATGGGAGGGATACAAAGGCTAGGACCACACCAGACATACTAATTTTGGAAAATCATTGAACTTTTGAAACTCACTATTAGACCAGACATGAATATATCTTGCACGTTCACTTTTCATTACAATACCCAAGTATTTTAAGATCATCCTGAAACATGTCTTCGACAAGCATTTACAAGTTGGTGTTACATAGAAACATGAGGATTTCAACTACTCACCTATCTATTTGGGGTTCAAACTAAGTGCCCTTGGCTGAGAAGGGGGGAAATATAATTATTTTGCTCAATAGTGTGATTTCTTATGTTCATTTTTCTTCAAATTCAGAGATATATTACCAATGTGCAATATCAGCATTACATTCTGTGCAATACTGCATGACTAAGCATCAAAGCCTTTTCCTCTCTATAAGGTTTATTAGCCACATTTATAAAGTCTGTCTGGAATGAACAATTGAATACACACAAGCATTAGCTTTTTTAACAATAACTATGAATAACAATCTAAATCAAAATGATTAATAACCATTCATGTATCCATCTTACTACAGACCGCATATTCAAAGTTCCTGCATAGGGTCATATGTATTTTTAAATATGTATTTTTGATGCATTATATTTGAACATGCTTGTCTGTACTATAGTCTGGTTGCAGTGAAAACGTACCGATGAATTTCACTTTAAACCAAAAAGTAAATCAAATAAAGTGAAATTAAACTTGCGAATCCTCATAATTTTACATTGCCAACTGAACATTTAAATCTCAAAATTTTATTCAAATTAGGATAAAAGTTGTTCAAATCGCTATTACTGGTTTGTATCACAATGGGGTAAGCGCAGTGGTTGGAAGAGTGAAACAAATGCACATGCGGTACGTGAAGAGTGTTAACTTATAACAAACCTTGTCGTTTTCGGTGTTTTATTTGATGTGCATACCCCTTGTAATACAAACCAATAATAGCCATGTGAAACTATGATCGTTTGTTAGACCACTTTTATCCTGAGTCGAATAAAATTCTGAGATTTAAGTGTTCATTTGGCAAGGTAAAATCATGAGGATTCGCAGTCTTAATTTCGCTTTATTTGTTTACTTTTTGGTTTAAAGTGACATTCATCGGTACGTTTTCACTGCAAACACTGCATTTGCAGAGTAATGCTTCAGAATGTCAACTGTTAATGTTCACTGTTTCAATTAATACGATTATAAAGATGCTGATGGCATGCCTTTTAAACCACATTAGTGATAATCCCATCTTAACCAGAAATCTACATGAAGGCAGACTGTACAGGTATGGACAAGACAATCCAGTGACTGACATAAATCCACACACATGATCACACACTATCAACCATGCCTTGAAGACTGAGCATAAGTCACCTTTTCCAACAAGCAAAGGTTCAGTGAGCCTCTATTTAAAAATAATAATTTTTAATCAAGAATCACATTGGGTTGAACAGACAATACAGGTGTTTTCTCATTCACTAATAACTAACAGCTACAGATAAAAAAAGACATATATTTCTCCATATATTTTAGAACCTGAACTGATGTAAATTTGACCTTAAAAGCCAGTGCCCGACGAAGAGCAACTATTGGATGCATACATCTACTTCAATAGCAATGACGTCTAAGGCCGGCTCAACACTACGACTGAATGTTTTGACGCATGCATTGATCCGTGCGATTTTATGTACACACTATACACGTTTTTCCACAGCTTATGAACTGCGTTTTCATTCATGATTTAAAATGGAACCAAGCAAGTTAGCCGTGGTCATGGCACTGATGGTGGAGGTGGAGGAAGAAGAAGAAACAAAGGAAGAACTTCTGACAAGTGTGATCTTTTTGCACCACAATAGTGATGTTTCAGAGAGAAGGGTGAGTTTAGTTTTACGCCGCACTCAGCAATATTCCAGCTACATGGCGGCGGTCTGTAAATAATCGAGTCTGGACCAAACAATTCAGTGATCAACAGCATGAGCATCGATCAACGTTTCAGAGGGGAGATGGTGGGTACATCCAATCAATGAACAAAGACACAAGGAGGGTTCTTATTGTAGACTGATAAAGAAACTGGAACTCTATCCTGAGAAATTCTTTGGGTATTTCCGCCTTTCTAAAGAACAGTTTCCATGACGTCAAGATTTGCATTCGTTGGTAATAAAATTGCATTAAAACAGCTGTGTTAACAGTCCATGTATATCTTTTATCTTACCCTCTTGTACAGTAACACCCAAAGTTTGAGATATTGATGTCCAGTTATTATTTATGATGTCAATATCTCGATTGCCCTTACTACCCGTGAAGGTCCGGGTTAGAATGTGCCTTCAGTAACCCATGCTTGTCGTAAGAGGCGACTAAGTGGATCGAGTGGTCAGGCTTGCTGACTTGGTTGACATGTCATCGGTTCCCAATTGTGTAGATCGATGTTCATGCTGTTGATCACTGGATTGTCTGGTCCAGACTAAATTATTT